ATGATATAAAAGAAAATGAAAGATTGTGTGAAAAATATAATTTAAAAGGTTAAATACATTTTATATTTTGTAAGAATAATTTATCATTAAACTAAATATATATTTTTCTTTGGGAGTTAGGCGTTGAAGAAAGAAAATTAGGGAAAAGAATAAAAACATAAAGGAAAAACATGAATAAATAAAATTTATTAGAATTATATGTTAATTTTAATTATTTGTTTATAGAAAATATTATAAATTTATTTAATTTTATTTATATAATAAGGTTTGAAATAAATCTAATGTATTTTTCGGAGGTTTAAGAGTAAACTTTTTAAATAAAACAAACTTCCAATAATTTATTCTTTAAATTACATTAATCTCTCATAAATGATTTCTGTAATAATATTTTATATAATTGGTATAAAGTCTAAAAGTATACAATTAATCTTAAAGAAAAAAAAAACAATATTTAAAACCTAAAATAAAATATTTTCCGCAAAAGCTGTGTGGAAAATTTAAACGGAAAAGTAAGGAATTATATAAAATTGACTTACTCGGATAATCATGGTTATTAGTTAATTGGTATAAATTCAGTTTTTTATATCTGAACTTTAAACAATACAGTTTATATATATAGTATAAGTAGTTCAGTTTTTTTAGTTTATTAAAATTATAGTTACCTATAATTTAGTATAGTTTAGTTATTTATACCTAGTCCTAATAATTGGTATTTGCCTACTTAAATTTATGTTATGATTTATTGGTTTCACACGACGGAATTTAAGATAAAATGAATTATAATGTGATTATTGATTGATTACCTTTCAGTTTTAAATTTTTTTTATAGTTAATTCAAAATTGAATCCATTTGATATTGGTTTAGTTTAACCTAATTGGGTTGGTAAATATATATTAATAATTTACATATTTTACTCAATTAATTTTAAATATACTATAGAGAAAAATATGGTCGTTATAATTTTTTTTTATAAATGTTTATATGATATTATAGTAATTATAATTTTTTATATGATCATAAATCTATAAAAAAAATAAATTATATTCAAGTTATGTCACGATTTATACCTAAATTATTTTTTAAATGATAGGAAATGGATGGATTTGATGTTAACATCACTATTAATTTTAAAGGTTAATTAATTTTATTATATTATTCTCTAAATAATAACACCCACTTGGCATACTTAACTTTTTTGAGTATCTAAATATATTAAATTATTGTACCGAATTATGTCACCATTAATAACAGTAGGATTTATTATGTCACCATAGACTACACATCATTATAGGAACTGAGAGTGGTTCAAAATTTGTAATTCAAATTTCAAAATTGCCTTTTTCCTCTTTCAAAATCCGTAAATACTTAGTCTTCACGGACTAATGTAGTTTATACCTATATTCAATAAAAAAATATTTAAACAATATTGTTAATATATTTATATAAATATATTGAGGAATCATATTTAAATTTATTTTAATATGAAAAATTTAAATCACATCACTTAAATATTAATTAATATAAAATTTATTTATAAATTATTTAATCTATTTTAAAAACATTGCATAAGATTTAAAAAAGCAAAAATAAGTTAGGCTAATTAATTTAATTACACAATAATATTATATAAATTACCCGCTAGGATGATAAATAGAATTAAAAATTTACTTAATTAATATTATAATAAGAATTACAAAAAAATTAAAAGATTTAAATATTATTATTTAATAACTAAATTTAAATAAATAGTGATTTAAAATATTAAAATAATAAAATATTTTTTTTATTAAGAAAATAAATAAATTTAATTTAACACTATTTAAAGAATAAAAATATAGTTAATTTAATTTAAAATAATGATTATTTAAAAGAAATAAAATTAGAACTACGTTTATAAATTTTAAATAAATATTTTACAATTTTATTTAATTTTTTTATATATATGCATTTTTCTTATTTATCATTTATAACGCTAAATAAATAAGAATTTAATTTTCATAATTATTTGTAGAAATTTAAATTATCATTTATAGTCATTATTATTATATATTTTAATAAGTTAAAATGATTTTTTACAATTTTAAAAGCAAAATAGTAAAAAAAAAATATGTACTTACCATTACTATTGAATCTTGATGAAAGAGAGTACAAATTAATATCATGTTTGATCATTAACCGTGATCAAAATAAAGAGCATGATCATTAATATCATGTTTCATAGTAGGTGAAGAAATGGATTTCGTGTTGTTTTTATCTTTTCTAAGTAACTTGTTTTTATTATTTTTAAGAGATGAATCTATTATTTTATTACCTATCTAGGAAAAAAAATCTAAAATTAAAAAATAAACTAGAAAAATTTAATTAAATATTGATATATTTAATTATTAGAAAAAAAAATTATTATAATCATGTCATAATAAAAAAAATGGTTTATATTTTTTTTATGTTCATAAAAAACCATGAAACTATTATTGTAGTATTAAATGTAAAAAATAATTGTTTTTTTTAATTTTTTTATAAAATAAATTAAAAATATATAGAATTTAAATCTTATAAATTCTTATCATAGATATACAGCAATTTTAAAGTTTTGGAGAAACAACGTGTATGGTATATTACCTGAGCCGATCGACTAATAACACAGACGACCACTGAAGATAACCAGTTTACGGACGACTCGACTACTGAAGATAAGCAGTTTACGGACGACTCTAAACGATCGTCTACTTATTAAGAGGAACGATCGTTTAGAGATATCTCATGTGGCTCGTCATCGCCCTTGACATCAATCATCATAAGCGATCGTTGTCTAACGAGCGTCTAATGATTGAACTAAAGGGCGCTCGGTCAATTTTATCCTATGTGGCATGTCGTCGCCCTTACCATCAACCATCGTAAGCGATCGTTTTTTGACGATCGTCCAATGATTAAACTAAAGGGCGATCGGTCAATTTTAGTCAAAACTGACACTTTAATCCTAAGAAGTTAAGAAGCAAGCGGTTGGATGTGTCCGGTTATAACGCCGCCAACCACGGAGTCAACTGACCCATTATCAAGTACGACTTAACGGTTGTATTTTCCAGAAAGTTAGATTCTCAACCAACCGGATTTTAAGGTAAACGGTTTATTTTCATTACTAGGATAAATATGAAAAGACTGAAGGAAGAAAGGTACGTTTTTCCCCTAGAGAGAAATTAAGAAAGAGAATACTGATCTTCTTCTTTTTGAACTGATAGAGGTTCGATCCACCCTTTTCTAACTTGAGCGTCGGAGTGCCTTTGCAGGTACCCAACCCATTTTCCTTCAAAGAGCTTTATACAAGAAGGAGATGCGACGACAACAGTATCACTGGAAGGAGCGGGGGAGATTCATTACGCTCGTATCTCGGCCTCAACTAATTTACCGAAACACAACGTAAATAAAATAGTTAATAAATGTGTCAATGAGAAAAGAATTACTTTATTCTGATATCAAATTATACACTTATTACAATCATATTTAAATTTTATAGGTTCTATCATTCATAATAACTATTATAAGGTAAATTTTGTCTTTGTAAAAAAACATTTAGTTTATTTCATAAAGAGTATTCATACATAAAATAGTTCAAAACTAATTTGCAACTAAAATATATTTAAAATAATATATATATATATATATATATATATATATATATATTTTAAATTATCTTACTAAAAATAATTGCATCTCAAATTATTATTTTGTTATAAACAATTAAATTATTTTACTTCAATTAGTTTTAGTGTCAAAATTCCCATCTTATAATCTAAATATTAGTTTTCCTAATTTTATCAATGAAGTTATTTTAATTTTTTTTTATACAATTTTTAAGTACATTTGACATCTGTGATTTTTTAGGAAAGAAATTATAGCAAATTAAAATAATATAAGTTTAAATCATATAAATGTATCATTCATTTAATATAAAATATATATAAACAATTTTAAAATGTTGTCAAATATTGAATATGGAGTTTCGCTAAAATTTTAAATACAAAACTTTCACACTCATACTTGTGATACATGACTTAATCATAATTAATTTTCGGATAATAGTTTCCTTCGTGATTATTTTAAATACATTATTTGAGATATTATTAAAGAAATAAAATAAAACCACTTTCATTTGGTTTTTTATTTTTGTTTAAGTTATTTTGGTATCTAAGTAATTATTGTCTTGACATAGTTAGAACACAATAAATAATTAGAAAGACTAAACACTAATAAGATATACTTAAATATGATTTTGACACAATGTCTAATAAAAAATCTTACATATTAGTTTTTAATTCTTTCATATTTCTATATTTCTAAGTGTGAGTTTCTCTTCCTATTGATATATCTCAATCACATTTCATTATTATTTTAAGGGTTAAATATGTTTTTAGTCCTTAAACTATTAAACGATTTTGGATTTCATCTCTCTTCGAAAGGTTTGCTTATTTTCACCCTCTTTGTTTTGAAACTCTTTTTTTTAGTCTTTAAAATTGAACGGTGTTAAGTTTTAGGTTTAATTTTTCAATAGGTCCCTATTTTCGTCCGGAATCTCAAATAGGACCCTTTCTTTTTTTTTGCGTTTCAATTGGGTCCTTAATTTTATAAAATTGAATTAAATAGGACCTTTCCGTTAAATTGATGAAACAGCGTTAAGTGTTGTATAACCTGGTATGCTGACAGTGTTGTTTTTAACACACGTGTAATTACGTGGATAAATTCTATTATTTTAAATTTTGAATTAAAAATTAAATTAAAATAGGGGAATTTCAATTAGGGCAAAGTTGGCAATTCAATTATAGAACCCCGTTCTCTCTGCAATTTCGGCGACGTCTCCTCCTTGGACCCCATGTTTTCCGTCACCAGTCTACAGTCATTCCCCTCTCAACCCTTCCTTTTTCGCGGACTGATGACCCAACCCTAATTCCGCAAACCGCATAGCCTCCAAAAATCCTTGTCCCTAAAATCGAACCCTCTCAACCTTTCAAATTCTTCCCCCAATACCATCCCACCCCCCTTTCTCCGCCTCCCGCCGCTCCCCAGAGCAGCCCCAGCAGAAACGGCAGCGAAATCCCACAGCATCGAGAGAGTAGAGACGCTTACCCTCATCCAAATCCCACAGCAAAATAACTCCATGTTTTCCACCACTGGCACACAGAGAACCATCGGGAGAAACAGCAACAGTGTTCACATACCCACTGTGTCCAGCAAGGGTATTTCTCAGCTTGCAGTTCGTGAGGTTCCACACCTTAACAGTGCGGTCCCAAGATGCAGACACAATAGTCGGCTGAAGAGTGCTAGGGCTGAAACGCACACANACCATCCCACCCCCCTTTCTCCGCCTCCCGCCGCTCCCCAGAGCAGCCCCAGCAGAAACGGCAGCGAAATCCCACAGCATCGAGAGAGTAGAGACGCTTACCCTCATCCAAATCCCACAGCAAAATAACTCCATTTTTTCCACCACTGGCACACAGAGAACCATCGGGAGAAACAGCAACAGTGTTCACATACCCACTGTGTCCAGCAAGGGTATTTCTCAGCTTGCAGTTCGTGAGGTTCCACACCTTAACAGTGCGGTCCCAAGATGCAGACACAATAGTCGGCTGAAGAGTGCTAGGGCTGAAACGCACACAGCTAACCCAATCAGAATGAGCATCACTGTCTTGAATGGTGTACTTGCATTCACCAAGGGTATTCCACAGTTTGATTGTGCGGTCACGCGAGGCCGACACGATCTGACGTTTGTCAATGGAGAACGCCAAAGAGAGGACGTCCTTGGTGTGTCCAACAAAACGGCGCGCGGAGGTGCCGGCTGCAAGGTCCCAGAGGCGGAGCTCTCCGTCCCAGGAGCCGGAAAGCGCAAACTGTCCGTCAGAAGATAGAACAACATCCTGATATGGTTTTGATGGTACCACAGTTCCACCACGTTGCTAATGATACGTGTGTTAAAAATAACACAGTCAGCATACCAGATGATACAACACTTAACGTCGTCTCGTCAATTTAACGGAAAGGTCCTATTTAATTCAATTTTACAAAAATAAGGATCCAATTGAAACGCAAAAAAAAAAGGGTCCTATTTGAGATTCTGGACGAAAACAAAGACATATTGAAACATTAAACATAAGTTTTATTTGATGTTACAAACGGGAACAACGTATCATGGCACTTTCTCTCGTTACTATGTACCACATTCCTTTTCTTCTTTTTTTATCCTCATGTAACTCCATCGTCACCTCCACCTTCACTCTCGTTCATCTCTACCCCCACCTTCACCTCCTTCATCTCCACCCCCAGCGACTCCCTCCGCTCCTCTGCCATGGCAATTGCCAATTGGGTTTCCTATGAAACATTCTCACTTTGCAAAAACCTTTCTTTTTTGTTTTTTATCTTTTGTTTACTGAAAATTAGTGTCGCCCTTTTCGTTGATTGGTTCTAGGTCTTTGGGGTTTTCTGCAGTGGCTTTGAATCGATGATTGGGAAAATCTCGATAAGCTTTGGTGTTTGCGGTATTTTATGGGAACATCTCTCCTAGGTTTCGTTGTTTTCAAGGAAGAAAAAAAGTTGACAAATTTATTGGCTTTGGTTGCTGAAGATTTTTTGTTCCGGAGGAAACAAACACTTATGCTTCTGGTTTTGTTTCGGTTTTTTGTTTTATTCAGGTATTATACAAACACAAAGGTGGCATAATGCCACCACTTTGCTATGCTTGATACGAGGTAAGCTTTTCGATTTCTCTTCAACATGTTCAATTTTTTCGAAGTCATTATTTTGAATGAAAGCTTTGTTTGTGTTTTGGTTTTTCTAAAGCTTCTTGTGTGTTTTTGTTTGGGGGGTTGAGTTTAGGTTGGCAGAGGCTTGATAATGGTAGACACAAATTTAGTTGAAGTGATTTTTGATAACGGTGTCGAATTCTCAGCAGTAGCGGTTAAAAAAAAGAAAAGTGATGTGACTCGTCATTTGCTACATAAAAAGAAAAACTTAACGTTGTTCCATTTTAAGGATTAAAATTAAAAGTTTCAAAACTAAGAAGATGAAAATGAACAAACCTTTCAAAGAGGAACGAAATCCAAAATCGTTTGATAATTTAGGGACTAAAAACATATTTAACCCTTATTTTAAATCTGTCACCAAAATGAACTATCTTACTCTAATATTATTATAAATCTTTTAAGAAGATTCACTGAATAGATATAACACCGTTCAAAGATAAACTCAACCAACATAAAGTATAAAGTCAATCCCTCATGCAACTCACATGAAAATCCTTCAAACAAGTTTCCTTACGACTTTCTTATTTCAACATTTCTTTCATTTATTTATATTTAATACTTTATTCCTTAATGACTATAAGAATTTTTTTCAATTATCGACAAAAATAAATTTCTCGATAAATTCAAGTTACCAGCATATTTTTGAATTTAAATTATTGACAAAAATTCTTGACAACATTGAATCCATTAATAAAATCTGTTGATTAGATTCATCTATAAATTAAAAATTGTATATTGATGGATACTTCAATCGACAATGTATTTGACGATTTAGTCCATCAATGAATTTCTTCGATAAATATTAACTATGATTTCTCACCCACTTTAATGGGTTTTGTTTATATATTAATGGGAGATGAATGAGAAAAATAAGAGTAGGAAACAAAAATAAGAGAAAAATGAAAAGGGAGAAGAGGCTGAGGCCAATGGCGACAAAAAAGGCACAACGATGATGATGACAATGACTCGATAGTCATGCAAGAGTGTGATAGTGACATAGAGGTGTGACGATGGTGGTTGTTAGAGTTAGAAGAGAGTTAAAGGAGGAAGATGAAAAGGAGAAAGAAGAAGATGAGCCAAAGTGAATGGCGATTAATGTAACAGTGATGGTGGCAATGATGGAAGTGTTGCAATCAGAAAATGAAAAAGAGAGAAAAAAAAAAGAGAAAGATTTTACCGACAATAAGGAGAAGAAGGACAATGACAACTTTTACTAACAATCAGAATATACTGATAATTATCGATAAATTTGCGATCATCAATAATTACCAACTATCATTTTACTAACAAAATTTTAATTATTAATAATCCATCAATATAATGGAATTATCAACAAAATTTTATTATTAATAATGAATTATGTCGATCTATATGTAAATAAGGATAATGAGAGAGAAAAAGAAAAGGAGAAAAAGGAGGGAGAGTAATATATTAGGGTTTAGTAGAAATTATGTGTCCTTTTAATTTTATGCCCTTTACATATTTACATATTGCTGAATCCCTTTTATGTGGAATCCAAAAAGGAAAGGTTGATGTTTATGCAGTGTTATGCATGTGTTTTGAAAAAAAAAAATTTTAAAATTTATTGTTAAAAATATTTCATTTCTTATCCAAAAAGCCTCGTTTATAAAATTTGTCCCGAAAATCTTATTTTATAAAACTGGTTTAGGAAGCCTTCTTCGATAAAGTTCAGTCTAAAATGCTTGTTCCAAAATTCTTGTTATTAGAAGCCTGTTCTAGAAGATTGTTGGTTAATGAGGAAGTCAGCATTTAAATATACCATGAAGTTAGAATGGCCAATTCAAAAATTCTAGGTGGAGGATAGTAATTATGGAGGTACATGAAGCAAAGTCATCTGAAAGATCCTTATAACGAAGTAAAGCCTACAAAATAACGGGCTTGTAAAGGTGTTCAAACTTGGACCTTCAAAATATAAATTGAAAAAAACAAATTTGAAGCTTTTATTATTTTCGTTTTCGATTTTTATAGTGTTTTTAGTTGGTAGTACTTCTGATACCTAAAATTTATAACTAAAGTTTATGTATAAGCATTTTCAATTATTATTTTCTCCTATTTTACAACTTCCACATTCAATATAACTTAAGTAGGTGGTCCGATAACGCCGATAGTTAGTTCTGATACCATATTAGAAGGTGGGTTTAAGTCTAACTCAACCCCACAAAGCCAACTTGTAAGGTGAGGTTTGCACCTCACTTATATATTATATTTTGGCCTTATCTCTAGTTAATGTGGGACTTTCAACACACCCCCTTCACGCCGAGATATAGACATCTCGTGCGTGATAGTAGAAATTAGGTGGTCCAATAACGACCCGATAGCGAGTAGAATAGGATAATAGAATGCCCACTTAGAACTCGCTAGGATAGGCTCTAATCATGGCTCTGATACCATATTAAAAGGTGGGTTTTAAGCCTAACTCAACCCCACAAAACCGGCTTGTAAGGTGAGGTTTGCACCTCACTTATATATATTATAATTTGGCTTTATCTCTAGTCGTTGTGGGTCTTTCAACACTTAAAAAAATTAAAATTCGTAAAATTTATAAAAATACCTTGATTATAATTTTGTAAAAATATTTTGATTATTTTTCAAAAGAATTTATTGAAAAAAAATTAAAATTGTTATGGTTTTATCTCTCAATAAATAACATTATAGTATATGATTTTTATTTGAATCATTAAAAATAAATGTTTTTCATTAAGATATTACAAGTGATCAAAATTATTGTATTCAATTTGTGTGATTTTGGGTGATATTTCAAATCCTTCTCCTATTAAAAAAATCAAGCTCTTTAAATGAACTCCATCTAGACTACAAAACATTCATCAATTATATTCATTTGTGAAACACATTTACAAAAATTGTTTTATGCAAGGACAATTGTTTTCTAGAATAATACTATGAACTTATAAATAAGTTTTTTTACATTATTATTTATTTTAGGATATGGATATTTCCATTATTTTTTAAAATGATGTTTAAAAACATGGTTAGGATCAATTAATATATATATATATATATATATATATATATATATATATATGTTCATTAAGTCGAGTATAGAAGTCCAATAAATTTATTTGTGTATCTGCTCCAGAAAACCTAATATTTACTGCAGTTTGATATTGAATTGTAGTTTATTTAAAGAAAAGTAAGATCCTGTTGGTATGTAAAAAAAGGAAGTTTTTATTTCTTAGTATGCACCTTTATAAGAAGTTTCTAGAGAGATAAAGTTAATGTTAAAAAATGTTATAAGAGATAGGAATTTTGGAGTATATTGGATGTTAGAGTTTATCGGTTTGAAAATTTTGTAGTGTGAAAAGAAATTACTTTGTGTGATTGAGTAAGATAGGAGCAGAATCAAAGTTGGAGATATGGTACTATGCTAATTCCCTGGAGGTTCTTCTCCTTTTTCAAAATCTCAATCATTTGAAATCTCCATCATTTCTTTTGGGAAACTTCTTTCATGTTAAGTCACAAATCTGTCCTTACCTCACCTCCATCTTCATCATAAAGAATCTTGCAGTCCCAACAAGCACAGTTTTTCACACCTAGCTACACCTTTAATCAATTTTCATTTTCATTTCATTATTTTTTTTTCTATAAAACATATTTAACAATCTAATAGAAAATGAGTTTTCTAAAGTGATTTTCTATAAATAGTTCACATCATCTTTAACCTAAAATTTAAATCAATAGAATTATGAGTTTTTCTCTTATATTTAATTAATGTAAACTTACATGATTGCGTTTTAATTTTTTTGAGTTAAATATATTTGTGCTATCTTAAATTTTAATAAAAATTAAAATTAATCCATCTTCAAAATTTTTGAAGTAATTTAGTCTCTCGTATTTAAAATTGAGTGAATTTAATACTTTTGAGATTTTAGACTATTTTTCAATTGAAAATATGTGTTAACCATTATAATAAATAACTGAAATATTATCGTACATTTAAAACATAAAATAATTTTAATAAATTTTGATTAAAAAATTAAATTCATACATTTTTAAAATTGATGACTGAATTGGATTAAAGTTTTGAGAAAGATTAATTTTAATTTTCACTTAAAGTGACAAAAACATGTTTAATCATGATTTTTTATAAAAACTTGATTGATGACAAAATTTAACTATAATTTTTTTATAAAAAAATGATCAAAAGTTAAAATATTGGTAGAAAATAAACACTAATATAAAACTATTATGCTCAAATACAGTTACATTAGTTTTAAAATTGTAATATGTTAAGATACAAGTGGGGAAATTAGAATAGAAAAGCATTAACAGTGTAGAGCATTGATAAGGTTGCGCATAAAGGTAGAATTAGGAAAAAGTGTGGTGTATTATTGAAATGGAATGGATAATTAATGAGACAAGAAAGTATTTGTATGGCTTTTGGATAGCTTCTTAAGGCAAGCTAGCTCTACCTTTATAGCTCTTTCCTTTTTCCCTAAAGTGACAACAAAATATAATGGATCATTCATGACTTGGATGTGAAAGATTTTTAATTTCCCTATAAACATC